GGGGGGGCAGGGGCGACACAGGGAGACCCAGGAAGGTGGGGACGGAATTTCACCCTGACTCTGCTGACCCGCGCCCTGTGTGTTTGCAGCCCCCTCTCTGAAGAACGCGGCCGCCCTGGGCCCCGGGTAAGTGTCCCCGCTTCTCTTTGCTCGGCCTCCTTTTCTTCGCTTTAAGCCAGAAATTACCGGTTTCCTTCGTTTTGGCGAGCCAGAACTCTCACTCAGACGCTTGTTCTTCCGACCGCCTTGAAGATTATCCTGTCCCCCTGTGAGGGTAACTCAGGGTGACCTTCAGCGACACCCAGCTCTGAATCGGTTACAAGGTTACTCCCAAGAACAGATCTGATTAAATACAACAAAATAGCCGGGCGTTGCTGCCGCACGCCTTTAATCCCAGCACCCGGGAGGCAGTGACAGGTGGATCTCTGTGAGTTCAAGGCCAGCCTGGTCTACAAGAGAGAGTTCCAGGACAGCGAGTCCAAAGCCACCGAGAGACCCTGTCTCGAAAAACCAAAACAAACAAACAAAAATACAGCAAAAGTAAAGCATGTTATTTTGGGTGCCTCCCAGATTTCTTATCTTGGCGATCACATAATGAAAAAGACAGGGACAAGTTTGCAGGCTCCAAAGGTAGAGGTGGGTACACCTGGCTCCTCCACTTAGCTGTGACACCTCACTTAGAACCGTATGTTACGGATTATTTAATATGAGAGACTTAATTCTGCTAAAACTCAGTAAGCAAAGCTTGGTACATTGTGAGTACTTAGAAATGTTGGCGCTGTTGCAGTTAAAAATGCCTTTCTTTAGAACTTATCGGGGTGCGAGTGAAATACTCTAACTCCAGACTTGATCATGAAGCTTTCAAAGTTTGAATAACCACAGAATGCTTGAAAAGACGTGGCCTCATTTAGGTGTAAATGGCTTATTGTGCAACAAAGTGAGACTATAATGACTTCTTTCAAGTTACAGAAAAAAACGACTCCATACAAACTTTGAAAAATAGCTGTGTGCTGAAAATGTACCCTTTGTGTGATCCTTGGCACTGCCAAATATAAACTATAGCACAAGAGATAACTGAACTATGTACAGAAGCAGCCTTTATTTCTCCTCTGTCACGCTCCATTCTGTCTTACATCAGCAGGGCTCATCCTCGAGGTTGTACTTTGACTCTGACTACACCCCCTAGCATTATTATGGCATGAGCAGCCAATGGTTTTGAATGAGCAGTTTCATTAGCCCTTTACTCTGTTTTTGTCCCAGTACAGCCCATTCTCAGTGTTGCAGAGAGATATGACAGTCACCTGCTTAGAATCTTCAGAGCTCCTATTCCTCTTGAAATAAAATCCAAACTTAGCAAGACCAAGAAAACTCAACCTGAATCAACCCATCTATCTCTTGGTTCTTCCTCATCCTTCTACATTTAGCTTTATATCCCAGTTTTTCCAGCATTGCTATTTCTCTAGAAAATGCCAAGAATTTTATTTATGTGTTTATGTGCATGGGCCACACACTTGCTTGCACACAAGTGTATCTGCACAAATGCTTGCAAAGGCAAGAAGAGGATGTTAGGTCAGGAGCTGGAGCAAAAGGTGGTTGTGAGCAGTCCACCATAGGTGCTGGGAACCAAACTGGTCCTGTGGAAGAGTAGCAAGCACACTTAACGCTGAAACATCTTTTCAGCCCTAAGTTCATTTTAACCGACATGTTCATTGTGTGTAGTACTCGCCTTTATAAGGATGCTTTACACAAGTATACAATGTATCTTGAGCAAGGATAGCATCCCATGCTCATCTACTGTCTTTTCTCTCCCTCATTAGTCGTCTTCATCCTTCTGTGTAATTGCGATTTTTCTTTTATGTTATGTGCATGATTTTATATCTATATAAAATCTAATTTTCACAAATGAAAGAAGACATTTTTATCTTTCTGTGGCTGAACTTGTCTAATATGATAATCTCCAATTATACCCACTTTGCTGGAGACAACATAATCTTATTCTGTATAGTTGAATAAAATTTCATTGTGGCTATAGCACATTTTCTCTATCTATTCCGATGTTGACAGACACCTAGATTGTTTCCACAATTCAGCTACTGTGAATAGTGCTTCAATAAGTACAAGTATTTCAGTGGTGTGCTTATTTGGACTCCTTAGCATAAATATACATGAGTGGTCTAGCTGAGTGATCTATTTTCAGTTTGTATTTTTTTGGGGGAGGTGCTTGTTGATTTCTGTGGCTAGACTAATTTACATTCCCACCAGAAATGTATAATGTTTTTCTTTTTCTTTATGTCCTCACCAGCATTTGTTACTTGTCTTAATGATTTCTAACTGGAGTGAGATGGAATCTCAGTGTGGTGGGATGTTTTGGGGGGGTATAATTTAAGGGGTTTTGTTGGGGGGGTGAGGATTTTTTTGTTTTTATTTTATAGATTCTAATTCTGTTGGGTGTACTTACCAAAGATTTTCTCCCATTCTATAGCTGTCTCTTCATTCAATTATTTCCTTTGCTTTGAAGAAGCTTTCTAGTTTTATAAAGTTTTGTGTCAGTTGTTGGCATTATTTACTGAGAAATTAGCACCCAGAGAAAGTACGTGCCTGTGTTTACGTCTTTGTTATATTTGGGATAGATTTTTGCACAGGCTGGGCGATAGATAGGGATCTAGTTTTATTCTTCTACACGTGGATATCATTTTCCCAGCATCATTTGTTGAAGTTTGTCTTCATAGAGGGTGAGCTTTGAGGTATCTGGAAGACTGGCTGGATTTTTCTATCAATCATTTAGTAAAAGGCGTGCCAAGCAGAAGCAATGCAAGGCGCAGGTGCTTGTTTTTGAGAGATGTCAATAATAATTTATATTAGTAGAGACGAGGTACTAAAGAAAGATGAAGATACAGTTCTCAGAAACTGGTTCAGCCCTGCTGTACTGTTTATTTTCTGTGAACAGGGGAGAGCCTGCTGAAGAGTTTTCATCTCAGATTCATTTTTTGGAAGCATTGACAGTAATATAAAAGAAGGAGCTGCATTTAAGGAATATTTGGCAAGAAGAGCCATCAGGTTTGGGAATGTTAAAATAGTTTAAGAAAGAGAATTGTAAGTCGTCCTCTGACCCTCACATGTATGTAGTGGTGTGCATGAGTGCAGACACAAACAAAACAAAAAGGAAGAGTAGAAAGAAATTTTTAAAAACTTTTAACTTAGCTCAAAGCCTAGTGGTTGGTCTAAGATTTTAACTCTATCTGGCTGTATTCCTTTCTCTTATGTTTCATTGCTCCTGGTTGAAATAGCAAACTCTCTGTAAATGGTCCATAGACTTATACAAAGATTTCAGTAGAGGGTTCAAGTGTCTTCCTATTTCAGGTCTCCTTTCTTTCCATTGTGACAGTAGGAAACACCTCAGTCTTCATCCCCATTCATTGCATTTGTTAATTGTACCTTGTGTTTTCTCTGAAAAGTTGGTTTTAAATTTGTATAATGATTATTTGTAGGGTATTACAAGCAACAAGGGTCTTTCACACAGGACAACCACGTCTTGCCCCTGTACCACCTCTTCCTGAATATGGAGGAAAAGTACGTCTAGGGCTCATCCCTGAAGAATTTTTCCAGTTCCTTTACCCTAAAACTGGTGTAACAGGTGAGCATTGACCAGTCTTCAGTACTTTGAGTGACACCATTAAAATCAAGTCAGTTCTTTTTTTGGAAGAAGTTTTAGCGATTCCATATTTTTAAAATAAAAAAATATATAGCTTGTATTTGAGATGAATTTTGTTTCAGGATTTTATTTTATAGCTTTGTTTTCATTTATTGACATACTAATCATGCTGATTTCTTTGATTTACTTCCAGGTGTTGTTCTAACAACACAATAATGAACTAAGTGTCTCATATTTTGGAACATGTATTTTATTACAGGATTAAAAATTTCAAGTTAGTTACATGTGTATTATACTGTCAGATAATAAAGGGAGCTACGAATAAAAATTAGACAGTAGAGACTTAGAGACAGGGAGTGTGTGTGTGATTGCATGCTTGTCTTAACAAGAGGCAGGTGCATCTCTGAGTTCCAGGCCTACCTAGTCTATAGAGTGAGTTCCAGGACAGCCTCTAAAGCTACAGAGAAATGCTGTCTTGAAAAACAAAAAAAAAAAAGACATAAACTTTCAGAACCACGCTTTTTTTTTATAATAACTGATTTTACCTTCATTATTTAATACTTAAACATTCCCACGAAAGCATTTTTATTATCTAGAGACCGAGAAAAGTGATTTGCAAGCATGTGGATTAGAACTTAGTTCTTTTGGCTAAGTTTTCTTTTGTCTCTACATACTGCCTTTTTTTCATGGAACACTGGAATCCCAAAATTTAGGCGTTAGACTGGCCTAAAATAGCATTTCCTTATCTGAAATTAAAGAAAGGTAGTGTCTTCATGTATTTGTAAGTCATTAAAATGTTAATACAATGAGACTTCTTTTTATAAACTCATTTAAAATTTATATACTGAAGACAGTGGAAGGAAAAATCTGAAACTTTCAAAAATCTGGGTTTTATGTAGTTGGGACTGTAACTTTTTTTAAATTTTATTTATTTTATGTGAATGGGTGTTCTCTTTGCATGTATGTCTCTAAAGTATGTGGGTGCCTGGTTCCAAGAAAGTCAGAACAGATTGGAACATCAGATCTCCCAGATTGAGTTATAGACAATTTTGAGCTGCCTTGTGGGTGCTGGGATTCAAACCCAGGTCTCTGGAAGAGCAGCC